AAAGGGGGGTTTGGCCCCTACTCAGGACGCCGCCAAGTTCAGCAGAGCCAAACCGCCCAAAATCGCCCCAACACAATGTGTTAGGGCGATTTTGGGGGGTTTGGCACCCAGCCAGGACCCCAAACGAGTAACCAAGCGCAATCGAACCAGGACCCAAACGAGGCTTCCAGTTCTAAAGTTGTACTACGGCCAAGCACAATCCAGACAGGACCTCTTATTGCCCACCAGACCGCGACATGTTAGCCTTGATTTGCCGACACACGTTACCACTCGGTAGTGCCTTGTAGTACAGGAACACTTAGGTACCTTGAGGGCGAGAGTTCGGGTGCGCTTGCAGCCATGGCTCCTGTCGCCAAAACGCTGGTTCACCAGGAGCAGGTTTGTGCGAGCCGCAGCAAAGCAACACCGTTTGCAAAGGCACTAGCTTCAACACCGGCGCTGTTTCTGAGGCAGCTTGTCTGACGCGACCCCCGCCCACCCGTTCACACTGCAAGTGCGGCCGAAAATGAGACTCCCACTCCTCTTCGGACATTGACATGCCATCGTCTTTCATGTTGCTCCAGACCCGTTTGGCAAGGGGCAAGCAGCTTGCAAAAAACCATCTCGATTCAGCAGGCCGCCTACAGCAAAGTGATGAAAAACTTCTGCATCCAAAAGCTTCTGCAGATCCATGACTGCTCTGTCGTCTGGCCACACGCACCGGATGACCGCAGTGTGTTTATTGAGCATCGGCAAGTTTTCTGCTTTCTCGGACGGGTCAATTGACTCCCCATCGATGTCGTAAAACTCAACAATCTCTTGGGTATCATGGGCCATGCGACGGACGTAGTCCTGGCAGACTTGGCGCAGCTCCCCGCTGGCACGCGCGACCCATGTCACGAATGTGCGCGCAACGAACCGCAAAGTAACCGGTCCAGTCAGGTCCACCGCTTCCATGGCTGTCGCGGTCTATATGTAGCAGAACCTTTTTTACACAGGCTTGATTGGAGCTCGCCCGGCCAATGTCCCTCGTAGCACATCGCACTCGCGGCAGAACCTGAACCCCAAACCTCAAAGACTAAACCTTAAACCCAGACTCGTAAACCCTGGGTCTCAAACCTAGATGAAAGTCACTTCTCGGGAGGGAGTTCTTTTTATACTTCGGGGACCCAAAACTGGACCCTGCCTAAAGTCTCCATTGTATTTTTTTCCCTCTCGCATGGCAGAGAACTATGCTCACAGCGAGGTCTGTTTGGGGACTGTAGCAGTAAATTCTCAATCATTTGGCCTTATGCCTTAAGCAGAAGGGCTTCGCAATCAGTTGCATGCCTTTCACAAGTGAACACAGCAAAATGCCGCTCAGAAGGACTCAATATCAAACTTTCATTTCAGCGTCGCAGCTCAGATCCCCGGCTTTTGCTACATCTTGTCACCGCTGCCAAAATCCGGCCATGTGTACCAGGGCCGAAACAGTGCCAGCAAACTATCAGGCAAAACATTGTCCCAGCATCTGAGGTCCACCCGAACATCCATTGTAGTTCCTTTTCGGGGTTACCTTATTGAATCCTAATTTCAAATTGGTTAAACCAAAGAAGGAGCTGCAATGGAGACTGTAGGTGATTACCTATGTAAAGAGCCCTCTGAGCCCTCTTCATAGGTCGATTGTGGGCTTCGGAAGATCCTTTTTGGGGGGCCTTTAGAATCTTTAGAAGCCTGAGCCCTCCTCAGGCCAACAGAACCCAAAAACTCCTTAACACCTTAGGGTGGAAGGCCTTTCGAAGGCCTGCCAAGGCCAACAGAACCGAAAATACCCCAAACCTCAAACCCAAGCCCGGCCTTCCACTGCTTTCTTTCGCTGGTCTTGAAGAGCTCGTCGGCCCAGCGTGCTTTGGATTCGGGCGTGAGGCTTTCTCTCTGGAACCCGGCGAACCGCGAACCGAACCGCCGAACCGTCCAGAACCTTCCCTCAAAACCGAACCGCCGAACCGCACCGCAGAAACCGAAACCGCAACCGAACCGAACCGTTTGCTTGCTGTATATGTATATATATATATATACATATACACACACACACACACATATATATATATATATACACACATACGCAGACACGCAACACATACAGACATAGTATAATACATAGGCCGATGCAGTGCCCGCAAGTATGACAGGATTTAGTTGGGGAGGCGAGGTCTAATTGCGTGGAGTTTGGAAGCCTTGAAGCTTGTCTTGTCAGCAGGTGTCCCAATGAATCGGGCGAACAACTTGGGGATACCGTTTGTGTTGCCTGCATCTGTAGGTGTAGGAAGCAGAACAGCACTGACAGCAGCTTCATAAACAAGCTGCTTGTGATGAAGCTGGTAACTCTTCATGGTCAGAGCTGTGCTAAAAAGGATTGCCGGCGGCTTGGTCCGCTGGACGTCCACTCGTCCGTCTGCGGACGCTACATGGGACTGCCTTGTGTCCTGGCAGAAGCTGAGAACCCGCACAACGCGGCAGAGGATGACAGCCCCGTCGTGCATACCAGAAGAACAGGCAACGCAATGAAGACCTGATTCCGCTCTGAACCCCGTGAACCACGTCCTTCGGAGAAGGCAGTCTACTTCTTCTTATTCTTTGCAATCTGGCGCTTGGGCCTGTACCTCAGCGGATGCATCGCTTGTCATGCCAAAAAGCCGTCGCCACCTTCTAGAACATTTTTGCTTTGCAAAGAGAACCCGTCAACACCTCACTTCTTCCGGGCTTATGGTCCTCATGTCAGATTTTGGGCCGGGCCAGAGAAACCAGATTCAAACACTCCATGCACATCGGTTTGTTGGGCATGGAAACTTGGGTAAACCTGCAACCTAGACCAGTGAGTCAACAATCGATGGCTGAGGTAGCTTCGTCTTTTAGTGGTGGGAACAGACAGCTTCTCGTGAATTGCATTTCGATGATCTCAGACTACTCGCTTGCTTAAGGGTTCGCGCACAACGTTTCAGCGTTAGGTTTCAATGTGTGTGAATCAAAGGATACCCGAGGCATGCAGCCCCTGCAACTGCCATGGGAGCACCTGAACTCCAGAAGTATAGGGCCAAAAGAATGGGGTGTTGGGGGCATGTTTTTTTCATAACTGTCTAGCGACTCTAAGGGGGTATCATTACTACTTCTTGAGACCTGGTTGCTATTGAAATGGCTTGGGTAATGTTTAATCCAATGCAGAGGTACTTCTCCAACACTTTGAACTCGTCGTAGGAGATGTTCCCGTCATCTGAGCCATCCAACCTGTGGATTCATCAGCCATGGACACAAAGCGGTCAGAGAACCAGAATTGGGAAGAGCAAAGGTGCTACTTGATCTGAGACAGCATCTACAAAGGGGAGCTGGACATGAATTGCTCGTCTCGTGGCTAAGGGAAGCAGACAGCCGCCAAACTTGTCGGAGCGTTGTCTGCCAATCAAAGCCGTCCCTGTACAAGAAATAGGCACTGCTCATGCATAAAGCTGAAAGATGCAGAGTTGCCCGGAGCCACCCAGCTACGAGTATCGTGCTGCGTGCTATCCTGAATCCTGTGCCACGCGACAAGGCGAACACCACGCGAGACGGGCCAAAGTATCCTGCGCTTTAGAAAGTGAAGCTTGCTTCGTGATGCTTGGATCTTTGGCAGAAGGGATAAAGAGGCTTCGGCGAACGCCAAGCAGCTGAGCTGCATGCACTGATAGACCCATAAGCTCAATTGGCCGAAAACCTTCGGCCCAAAGCCCGAGTCCGGTGAATCCTTTCCATGGGAGACATGTACCTGTGCATGCAGACTTGCCCGGACATGTGATGAGTAAGGAGCAAAGTCCTATGTCGGCCACCGCCTTGTTCCACTCGTCCTGTAAAGATCAGAAGCAAATCGAGACTGGCAGTTGTGCGGCGCGGTGAAGCTTCCGCCGTTTCATGTCTGGGCGAAAGGTCACTACAATTACGATGTCGAAGCTGAAGCCGCTGCTAAAGATCTCTGCTGCTCGTGGCCCCGAATAACCAGTTTGGGATTACATAGATTTCGATTCGAAACATCCAGCATCCAAATGTACGGAGCTTAACGGCCGCAGTTTCCGGGGCCCAGATTTTCCAGCACACTGAGAGCACCAGACCAGCGCAGGAAGTTCCTCGGAGAGCTCGCCACTCTCGTCGTCGTCCAGAGTGATCCAAGCTTCTTCCTACAGCACGAGATCTGCTGAGAGTTCAAGATTAAATTGGGGCTCTTTCCATCCGCAGGGAGCCTAGCGGAAGCTCCATCGGACGGGCACTTTGTCAGGGAGTTGCAGTTCTTTCAATATAGTAAACAGACCCCAATGAAGCTCAAAGCCAAACACCAAGATTTACAACCTCTGCGGCTCAGCATCCAGGTCTTCACCAAAGACAAAGATCAGGAACTGCACAAACTCCTCCACAGTGACGTGTCAAAACAGTGCTTGGATTGCAGAAATGTTTAATAAAGCTTTCATTTTTGAGCTGAGGTGCCAGAAAACTCCAAAGCTACTCCAACCTCCAGAAAACTCTGCATTGGACCTCCGTCTCTGTTGATGCCTTCCCATCTTCAGGAGATTGCAAGATGCGTCGATAGGGCGCATTAGCGAAACGACCGAAACCAAAGCAAGTAGCAGTCGTGGGCACGAGTAGTTGGACTGTCGTGCTTGCAAATTAGCAACAGCAAGCATGGTAGCCCAGTAGTGCTCAATAACCAATAGCGGATGCGATGGTGGTCATGAAGAAAAGCCGCCAGAGCCAAAAGGTTACAAAAAGACGGTAAGAGCATCCAATACATGCAGCAACTGCCATTTAGCATCTGTGCGAGTTTCGGAACAATTACCATTGCAGGCCGAATGTGCTGCTACAAATAAACCCAGCAATCTTGAGCCCACAGTCCTGGATGCTCAGCACGAACCTGTGCTCAAAGCATTGGTTCACACTTCAACACGTTTCGCAGATCGCGCCAAAAGCGCTGTCCGGCCGAAAGGACTCACAGGTCATTTCAATTGGCTCCCGAACGACCCTCAAATCTTCGAAAATCCGAGGTGCTCTTTCCAGAGCTGGTCCAAGATCTGCCACTCCTGCAGAGAAACATTGCCTTCGCCTCCTGGATCCAAATACCTGCCCGGGCTTTGGGTATCGGGTTGCTCGGAGTGTTCTCTTGCGAGGACCAAACTGTGAAAACCTGTGAGGGATCGGCTCGTACTGGTGGCTCTGGCTGGCAACCTGTGCCTATGTCCCAAATTCACCGCCCATCGAGGCTGGCCTGCTTTCCTTCACCTTCCTTGCTAAACGGACTTTCAATCACCTGCAGGACCTGCATGCCTACCTATTGTCCCTGATTTTCATGTCAATCACACCCCTGACAGAATTTACAATCTGCTCGAAGCCAGAAGCTCGATGCCTCATACCCCTGAAAACATTGCTCACCATTGGACACTCACGATCCGGACAGCCAGTGGTTCAGGGTTGAGACTTATTCAGGTGTTGCATACATGAGCCGGCGAAGATGAGACCCAAGTTCAGACTTCAGAGACGAGTGACCGGAAGACTCCACCGATCCGTTCCTTCTCGTTCGGCCCCTTGAACCTCAGCTGGCCATGAGCTTTGCACGTTTGCAGGTGAAGTTTCCCGCTTCGTCTTAGCCCAGATCCAGGGCTGGATCCCAGCATTCCAGGGCTGCAACTGAAACCGCGAGGCCCATTTCACCGCAAGCCCCAAGCCGACACGGGTCAGGTGGCTTGAAGCAGCCGATATCTTTCAAGCCCGCCTCGAACTCTCGCCTCAGCTTCAAAGGATGGCTGGGAGGAGTCGCAGACTCGGAACCCCAACAGATCCCAACAAGCGACTAGCAATGACTAATCCGTTTTCGCGCTTCCGGCGCGACCGGCGCTTGTCCTTCATAGGCTCGCACTTGAGAACCCAAAGCCTGGACCTCGTCCTTTCTCTGCCACGCGGCAATGTGAGCTCTCCGTTGCTTGTGGTGTTGCCCGCATTTTCGCCTTCCTTCACACCTCCATCGATGTCTCGGAAGGCCTCGTCGACCTGAGGCTCAGAGGGCAAAGGCTGGGGCGGCCGCATTGCTAGGCTTAGTTGGATGCATACAAATTGCTACGCAACTTAGGCCCAAGTTGCGTGGTTGTACCTGCTGATGAAGAACCTCGGCATGCCAGGGATCGGGAAGCCGGAAGGCTTGCCACCCAAGCTGACAACCGAATCGTCGGCACTGTTCTGATATCTACTCATGTGAGGCCCCCCTTCTTCCTACGAACGCTCGGGCTCCAAAGGTCGTGGAGGCGACAGCACAATGCATCCTTCTGGGCGGTTTTTCCTAGAACCCCGCGGTCTCTGTCACATGGCAACATCGCAGCTTGGAAGCTCGAGCAGATCCAAGACGTCATCACCGGCCTCCTGGCGGAGTTTCGATCCTTGACCTCCCGCCTCGAGGCTTTTGTGGATCACGGACTCAAGCTTTGGAAGGTTCCGGCTTGCCTGGCCTTGGCCCTCGCAACCAACTCTTTTGCAGAAGTGCCTAGAGAACAGAGCCCTAAACCCTAAACCCTAAACCAACAGAGCCTACTTCGATTGCTGCCAGAATCTGTCCGGCCCTGTGGTGTGAAGTTCTACACAGAGCTCCTAGAAAACTTATGTCTTGTGCCTTGAGGCCCGTCCACCAGGAGACATCTGACGGCGAGAAGTTCCCGGCCATGTAGCCTCGATATTCAGGCTATACCAAGGGCTGCTGCCTTGTCTTTACGATTCTTCTGGATATCTTTTCCAATTGGATCTGTCAGAGCCTAAAAATAGCATGACAGGCAAAGGCCTGTACCCTGCGTCTCTGTATGATGACCGGGTGGCCGTAAGTTTGGGCCAGCTTCTTGCGGAACTCCACTTGCCGATCTTCGGGCGAGCAGACGTATCGGCAGCGGAAGATGCCTGGCGAAGGGTGAGGTTGGACAGGCTGCAAGGACCCCCAGCCGACCCTTGAGGAGCCGGGTGAGCTCAAGCAAGGCCTTGTGGAGGCTTCGGGTGAAGTCTTTCGAAAAATACTTCGACACATGTGCCTGAGGAGGGCAGCTTCGCCAGGTCTGCCCAACCTTTCGCAGAGAGCTTCAAAGCCCTTTGTGCTTTCCATTTAATGCGTTGTCCGAACGAACGCTCCGGCTTGACATTAACGGTTTCATGTCTTCTCGCTCAGCTTTTCTGGGACCGAGGTGCTGAAAGAAAAGATCCAAGCCCAAGCCTTCAAATATTCTCGAGTCGGCAACAGTCCGCAACTTCTGCCGTCTCGGCTACGTGCGGTGAGATGCCTTCTAAAGTTGCCCTGCGCGCACAGCTGATTGACCCCTAGCCCTAGCCAGTTCCACCGAAACCTCAACCGACCCTGTCCAAGAGAGAAGGCGCTTCTCGGAACGCCCATGGTCATCGGGTCCGTGGTGCCGTCCTTCAGTGCGAACTTAGGATACCTCAGGATATTACATCTCCAATCTTTTTTTGGCCAGTTTTGGCCTTCACACAATCACAAAGTGATTCAACTGCCTCTCCAAAGTAACTGTGCGTCCAGACGAACCATCGTTCATACCAAAGAAGCCCGCAATACTGCAACGCCCTTAGACGTCCAGTCGCATGAGTTGTGGAGGACAGCGCAATTTGTGAACTCTGCTTGTTTTGGGTTCTGGTGGCCCCGAAGGAAGACATCGAAACCTCCCTGACACACTTTTCGAAGGCTTTCGACAACCTGAGTCCTCGTTCGTCAAAGAATAGTCGCGGATGTTGCCGTATTTCTCCTCGCATGCTCGAAGATGATGCAGTGAGGACAACAGCAGCGTCGTCTGAGTTGAGCTCGCCATAGTAGACCACAAACAACGGTTTGCCAGTCCCGATCCCAAATTCCAGAACGACTTTCTCAACTCCAAAAGTGTCAACACATATCATCTCCTTGCATGCACTTTGGATATTCCTACCCGACCGGAATTCAACATTTTCAACTCAGCGAACGGAGCATAGTTTGAAAGTCGAGCTGCGCGTAGCGCGAGGTCTACGATCATGGACACGCAGAGTCGCTGGTCGTGATACTTCCTTAGATCTACGAATCAAGGATCTTAAGGCATCGCGGTTCAGGTTTTCAGTCTTAGATTCCGGGTTCATTTCAATTTCCTACTGGTGGGCACCCGGGTTCACACTGCTCGCGATCAGATGAGAGCTGGGAAGACTCGTACATTGCCTGAAACCGGGCATCACGAGCATGCACTGACCCCTCTTGGTGGAACGGCGGCTTTAGATGCAACTAGGTTGTCGGTGCCGCCCCTGAAGAGCGAGCAGCAAACGATCGAATCGCAGCCAGAAGCCCATCAACTCGAGTACGCTGCTCCCATCAAGCCTAAAGCCCGATGGAGCCAAGATGCAAATTGAGCACGAACTTGGTGTTCCTCCGTCCGGGATTTGTGGATGGGTCTAAACTTGAGCAGTCTGGAGATAGAGAGAAAAGCAAGCACTGCTACCTGCAGGGGCCACACTATCGTGTCTGAACTTGAACGACCATCCTTCTGGTGCCTCTCTTTCTGCAAGTCTTGGTGTTCTTGCAGCTCTTCCCTTTCAGGCGCTGCTCACCCGATTTTTCTTGCAGAGGGTCGGGAGCCTGGTCTGTCGCCGGTGAAGGCTTACGGGCGCGCTGCGAAATGTATATTGCAAACACAAACGACATTCTGATAGAACCCACTTGGAACCTTCGCAGCCATTGGGAACCTTCTTGCAAAAACATGCGTGCTGGGAGTTCCGCGCACGTCTGAACGCCCCCTGAACCCAAAGCCCCGGAACCTCAAGACTGTTGGCCCCCGAAGTCCCATCTTCCCATCCAAGGCAAGGCTCTCGGGCTGGATGAACGGAAAGGCTGCGCAGTATCCCAATCTGGTCCGGAGTCGGGAAAGCTCTTCCTGCCGTGCATACAGGAATAATTTTTGGGTTGTGCCAGACGAGGTGAAGTGAACCCATGCTTTTGGGTTTACGCTCTCGCAGCTCGACAAGCCAGATAAGGTCTCGCGGTTCGCAGCATCGAGGGGCTTCCGGTTAATGGGTTTAGGGTCGCGGTACTCAACTGAAGCCGGATAAATCCTCTCAAGAGGCCTAGGCAACATACAATTAAGTCAACACTTGGCCGACGTGAGTTTCTACTCGCTACCCGCTACATGATGTTCGGTAACGAAGGCCACGGCTCTCCCATTCCAGGTACCCATCGCAGCATCTTCCTTAAAATGTACGATGAAGCCCGCCACGCAAACAAGCTGATGAAGCCGCAAGTCGAGGCTTGGTTTTGGGTTTCGTACCTTATGCTATGAACGATTCGTTGAATCTTCCGCGCTGTTTCCGCATGCAACGAAGGTCCCATGAAGTTTTGCGTGTGGTCCCTGGTAGGCGACCGCTAACCTACATGTGGGCCATTCCGCACCTCTCGGAAGCCTGACGTTCCACAGCAGCGACGGCTGCCATCTACTTGAAGCTGCTCTTTCCATCATGTGGCAGAGCAGCCTAGCTAGGGCAAAGGCTTAGCAGCAAAACATTGAGCGGCTTGGCTGTTTACGCCCGTCTCTGGGACCTAATGGCAAAACGAGCCGTAATTAAAAAAAGAACCCGTGTATGTGGTGTTCTCTGGGCCTCGCTACTCGCAATTTACCGGCCGACCTGAAGTACAAACACCCGGGTCGTCCTGTTTCTCGAATCGGACAAGGAACTGCTTGGAGTTGTGCATGTCTATGATACCTTTCACGGCAGGAGATTGTCAACACAAGGGCTTCGTTGCGACAGCCTAGCTTCCGAACGCCCTTTCATGGCTCGTCGGTAGTGCTACTGTTGATGAACCAGCCAACAATGACAATCCTGAGTGATACTCCTTCATCCCAACCAATGACCGCAGGTCCCACAGCCCGTTACATTCCTCAGAATGGGTCGTCTTGGCCAGCCTCTCAGCCAGAAGCGCCAAACGAGCAGGCACCGAACTCCTGCTGCCACGCCACGCAAGTAGAATGTGACAAAGGCCTCCTCCCTCGCAAGGAAAGGATCTTCGCGTTCGGATGGATCCTCCGCTGCCATAGGCCAGTAGCATTGCCGTGGCTGTTGGGTTCTGCCACGTGAACTTCCAAACTTGAAGAGGCCTTTCCTGTAACGGGAAGATTTGGAATCCTTACGGTGCGTTCTGGCCCGGGGTCGTCTACCGCTCAAACTCTGCACCTCGGTCCTTGTCCGGGTCTTCTGCCACCGGATCCTTGAAATATCCTCAGCTCACTTCGTCGTAAAACAAGGCGTGGTTCCCGCTGCAGCTAATATTCTGGACTTGGGATGACTTAGGTCCTTAGGTACGGTGATCGCTTCTAACCGAGCACTGTGCCACACCTTTCCGTCCCCAGGGGCCCACCATCTGGCGCATGTGCATGCAGGTGATAAAGATGAGGTGGGAGATGCTGCGAAGGACCTCCAGGGATCTCAGCCGTCTCCAAGCTCGGGAACGGAGGGTGTTCAGCATGACCCTCACCTGCTAGCTTCAAGCTGGAATCCGACGTTTTTTGTTGTTTGTGGCGGCCTCGAACCTATTGAATCTATTGTAGAAGCGTTTGCTCATGCATTTGCACCCTTCAGCGCCTTGATCTTGTCCTGCGGCCGTGCCTCTGAGTAGTACCTAGGTCTTTCGGCAGGTCCAGCAGTCTCCTCGTTTCCGTTTTCTTTCCGACAACATTTCTCTCTCTGGCTCTACATAAGCATCTATATGACACTGTGCCTGTTCAAGAACAGCAATCACAGCCAACCACCACCGCCGTCACTACTCTCGCGCTCGCCATGACACCGCTACGGTCCACCATTACCAGCGCAACAAAATTCATCATTGTCACCACCATTACCTTCACCACGCAGTCACCAAAAATCACCAAAATGAAGTAGCCCAAAAGGTTCAAGGTGCATGGTGACCATCAAATCCTCCCACAGCTCGTCGCTCAGGGCCTCCGCATTGGCAGGTGGTCCTCAGCCGATCAGGAGCAACTTCTTGTACTTGTTCGTTGTTTGTCTCTGTGTGTCCAAGATTTCTCGAGGCTTGTGGCCCAGTACAGCGTTGCTCTCCTAGCTCCAGTTTGCCGATCGGGCTCGGTAAGCGCTGATGAAGTCCAGCTCGAAGATATCATACCTAAGACGACCGACGTCCCCCATAGTATGAGGAAACAGATAAGCGAATCTTCATAGAAGGATCGAGCTGCAAGCATGAAATAGAACAGTATAGCAAGTGCATGTAAACATCTGCCAAGCGGCTCTGGCAAACTCCACTCCGCCACTGACTTGACTCGCAAATACAGTGGGCGGCCCTGAGGTCTTCCAGGTAAGGACAATGACAAATTCGAAGACGTGGGATGCTTGGAGGATCGGGGTCGCAGTAAGTGGCGTCATGTCTAAATTTCTTCTTCGCAAGTACACAGCAGCATCCACCATGGAGCACCTACTTTAGTGCATGAACCCTTCGAATGCATGAACTGAGGATTCGGGAGCCGTTTAGTTTCCGGCCATTTCAACTCGCGGCGCTGCTTGGAATGGGGTCAGGGCGCGGTATCATGCCAGATTTTGACTTAGACACTGCGGCCTGAACTCTTTAGCCTACTCCAAATAATTCGGGGCCCGACAACCTATATATACATAATTATATATAGTTATGTATATATATATATATATACATTGCACATGGCTTCTGCATTGCCACTTTTTTCGAAACCGTTACCTCTAGCGTGGCAGCAAGGCTTTGCTTCTCCTTCTGCGGGGTCGGTGTCGTCTCTTCACGTTGATGTGAGGAAGGGGAATGCGGCAATCCGACGTTGTTCCGGGATGTTTTGAGGGAGGTTTCGGGGTAGATCCGCAACATTTGTGAACCCGGCTCCTGGTGCATCTCATTCCGCAGCTGCGACCGGTTCGCCATCGCGGAGGTATCCACGCCTCGTGGTGGTGCTGGGATGATCCGGGATGCAAGATTCGATATGAATCTGTCTTCGTTCTCTAAGCTTGTCAGCATTGCCGTCACTGCTAGTGCTATATCTACACCTTCCGAGGCGATGTCTCCCCTATATATTTTGTTTTCGGCACTGGCATCAGTCGGTATGACTATTGCGATTGTCATTGCCAGTATTAACCCGACAATATCGATTGTAGTATCTCTTAGGGCATTGGGCATAGTTTAAAAGTGCTTAAGTTTCAAACAAAGCAAGAACCGTATCTCTGATGGTAACACTTGGGGGTTTCCGAAAATAGGGGACCCTAATATAGTACCCTAAATAGTAGGATCCTTATTATAAGGACCCCAACATAAGGTGCCCCTTATTTTCGGAAACCACCAAATGGCCCAAATCTATTAACCCTAAACCCTAAACCCTAAACCTTAAAAAGGACTTCTTGCCAGGTTTCGGCTCCGGCGCTTGTTCACCACCGCCTCCCAACGGTCCAGGAGGATCAGCCGCTGAGCCACGGCGAACTCACAGTTGTTCCTAAACCGGCTTTCGGGTTTGGGGGCGTGGGGTTTCTACAGGCTGTGGCCTACTTTAAAACCAGAGCTGTAGATGCCCTCTATGTGACTCTATATGCTTCATGTGCTATATTCCAGGCTTCGGTTTTTCCAGGCGGGACCAGGCTCCGGGTTCGGAGCTTGAGAATGGTCCCACAAACCCCTGCACTCCGAAGACCAGGCTTCTACTGGGCCCCCTGATCCAGGACAGAGGGTCCCCAGGTCCAGTTTGTAGTGGCCGGTGGCATTCTGCGGGTTGAAGATGAGCAGCGACTCCATGCTGTGATAGCCTTTGAGGGTCTCGATTGTCAGACGCTTAGATGTTGAGCTCTACATCCCTAAACCGGATCCGGGCAGCAGCTCTTTCAAGGCAGCAAGCCAAGAGGCATTTAATTAAGTTGCGGCAAAGGGCCATTATCATGATGTGGGTTCCCTCGTTATTTCAGGCAAATTCTCCCTGTCAGAGCATCCTGCAAATCCTCGGCCCTAGTTGCTTAGGATGACAACACCTGAGTCTGAGTGCCTTCAAGGACTTGGGGATGGCAAGGAAGGGGGATATGGGGGTTTCCGAAAATAGGGGACCCTAATATAGTACCCTAAATACTACGTAGGATCCCTATTATAGGACCCCAAAATAAGGTACCCCCAATTTTCTGAAACTCCCATATGCCAAGGGGCAGGTGTAGAAGTCATGCAGCTTCGGGAAGCAGAGCATAGCCAGGTACCGGGATTGATCATCGCTCGGCACGGTGGGGAACATTGTCATCATGGTCCGCCCTCGGACTCCGGGATTCAGTTGCGGTTCATGATTGTAGAAACCAAGACAAGCGGGATCCTCCACTGCAAAGGAATGTCAGGTGAGTTGGCCTCCAGGCAGCAGGACTCTAAGGCGCGATGCCCTACAACTCCTGGATCCTGACACCCAGGACCCAAACTCAACTCTTAAACGTAAGCCCGAACCCAAAGGCCGGCGGTAACTGCAGGCAGGCATCGAACACTCGAAGGACTACTTCTGCAAAGGTAAGACAAATACGGCAAGGACATGTTGAAGTCCTCGGGCTGGCTTTGATGCCAACGGCTTCTGAACAGGTGGTCTTCTGAAGTTATTCCGAGTGTGTACTGCAGCAAGAGCATCACCATACTGCATTGCAGGTACTACGTGCTGTTACTGCTGCGATGATGGAGCCTGTGAAGAGCTGAGCATCTGGAACCACTGGTTGCTGATGGCTAAATAGCTTTTCCTCGATCATCCGGACTTTCCCTTTTCCAATAGTCCATCGGATAGCATGGTATAGCCGCAGCTTGTGTCGTTAACATGAAACCGTCTTTGCTTCCTGTTGTTGCCACGGCCCTAACAGAGGCTAAAGCTGCGCCCAAGCAAGGAAACCAAACAACGACATACCACCCCCCCACCCCCCCCACCCGCCCAACCCCAACGAGAAGAAGCTGTACCTTCGACAGCCCTTCAGCCCCGAAGCCCAAGAGCACCGCTTGGAACCAAGGGTCCTTGGCCAAAGCTTCAAGATAGACTGCTTGATCAGCCTCCCGACCTGGAGGATCTCCGCTCTCAGCTCTCGAGATGACGCTGCAGTTCGGGCTTCGGTTCTCCCAACACCGGCACAACGCCCCTCTTGCATCCTCTTGCTGCACATCTGGAGGTACCCCTGAGGCATAAAAAGACTTGATCTACCCTCGTTGCAAGAGGAAGCTGGCAGACAACAGGAACTCGACAACTCATTGGTGTCACTGACCAGTGACAAGTGGAGTTTTCCTTCGTTGGTGTTTCGGGCCTTGAAGGAACCTCATAAGCCTGGGAACCGCAGATTCCAAGAGAAAGCCCTCCACTCATGAAGATGCTTTCCCGGCGGTGCTTCAACCCTAAGCTGTGTGCCATGCAACCCCTATCCCCGAACCTTCAGCCCTAAGCCCTCAAGAAAAAAACATTCAACGCCTAATTACGGCGAAACTGAAAGTTGCCTCCAGCAAAAAACACAGAAGCTCAGGGCGCTTTAGGTTTCGGGGGTTGGGGCTTCAGGGTTTATTCTCAAGCAGGTCATGTTATTCAATGAGCATGATCCTGAAATGCATAGGTCATGGTAGAAGCACGGGGGCCGTCCTTCCAACTCCAGCCACTTGGCAAAGAGTGCCGTGATCTTCTTCCGATCCGCCTTAGAGAACAGGCCCCGAGACCGAACAGCCTCACTTGAGAATGAGTCCGTAGAGGATGCTGCAAGCTACTTCTTCAAATCCAACTCAGTACCCCGGAACACAGTGTGCTCAGAAAGTACATGTCATCGCTGACTGAACCTTCAAGCCCCAAATCAGCACGCCTCGCCTTAAACCGTGTGAGCTCGAAGTGAGTGTCCAGGAAGCACAGGAAGTCGTCATCCTCGACACCTGGAAGACTTTGGGAGCGGCCCAGTGCTTTAGACTTTCCCTCCCCGACCATGCTGGCCTGATAGAGCGGACTGAATCTGCGCCTGAAGCAACTTCAAGTAAGCAAAGGGTCGAGTGCACAGCCCGCAGAGGAGGGGGGTGATGCGGCGGAGGCGGCATTGGGTTTTGAGTAACCCATGACTGAAGTGAAGTGGCATCAAAAGTGCCGGGCCTCATGTGCTTCTTCTGAGAGAACTTGGCAGCATCTTAGGAACCCTATGTCAAGACGGAAGGCATCACCTGACCGATGAGGCCCGAAGCAAACTTCTGAAAAAGCACTCCTTTGGCAGAAACATCTGAAGCCCCTCAACTGCCAACCCTACGGCTTACGCCAAACATCCCTTTCCTTTATCGAAAAGCCCCCAAAACCACTGGGCGACATGCTCGTGTCAAGATAACCCTGCCGGTTTCCGAGACCTCAACACTGAAGACCAGAACCAGCCGGCCCGATGTGGCCACCTGAGTAGTAACGACAGAATTTCGGTGCTTGCACTTTTGACAACCGCATTGGTGGCAAACGAGATCCAGCCAAACGTATCTCGTCGGTTTGTGTCAAATGAGGCTTCGGATGCATCACGATCAGTCACGAAGCTCTGTGACCTGTCAGGGCCGATGCCTCTTGACAACTTACCACACCTAGTACACACAACACCAAGTAAACAAGCGAAGTATACTAAGTATACACACGAAACTGTGCAAGCGCATGTCCAAGGTATTTATGTATGCATGCATGTACATATGTAGGAATGAAGGCGTATTCTATCTTCGCCATCCTGGCGTCAAGGACCACCCCACCGATTGCTGACACGTTCCAGCAGGTCTCCAATGCAGGCTAGGGTACTTGCCAAAGGCCCCTCTCTTTCCTTGGCTTGTACAGCACGTCTCCCACAACTTTCCCGAAAGACTTGTTGACATTGGCCTCTCCAGCCATACCTCCGGATGCCGCTGTGAAGCCCGTCAGGATCAAGACAACCGAACGTCTTCTTGCCTACGCCAGCCTCCGAAGTTAATCCCTGAACCACAACCCGCATAAGCCGCAGTCAGGACGGGCCACAGGCGACCACACTCTGAAGCGGAGCGAACTTTTGAAAATCTCAGGCTTTTAACTTTAAAAGCCCGGGGTGGGGTGGCTACAGTATCGCTACAGTTGCATTTATTCTTGTTCGGTGAGGGGCCTGCAACGAACCTATCTGTCGGGAGCAGCACTTGCAGCCCAGGATGCTCAGAGACAGAGACGAGAAAAGCGGGTTGAAAATATGAAAGGAACGTAAGCTACTGGAGCTTGATCCCGGAAGCTAAGGTCGACGTGAACAAATTGCTCAAAGGCTCGTGGCATGCTGGTACGGGAATGAACTCTCCACGATCTCGAAGGCCTGCCGTGCCAGTGCAAAGGCTGGTGGCCGGCTGCGCGGAGTGTTTGTAGATGACAATGTCAAAACCTAAGAGTACCTGAAAGCAAGGCTTCCTTTAGCACTGTCGCACCTTCTCCAACGGGATCTTGCACCTTTCCGCGGTCTTGTAGAGAATTCGTAGGAGGCTCCGGCAATAGGGCCGGCTCAAGTCCAACACATACCTGCAATCGATCGTGGACAAAGCGGTTTGAGGTCGTGGCGTCTTGGGGTGTGCCGAAGGCAGGGCGTGGAATGTTGCACAGGAAAGTACTGGCAGTCGACATGCGGAACAATGCAGTCGAGCCATGAGCAACCACCTAGGTTATCGTGACACTCGGGGAGCACGCGCAGGACTCCGTTAGCGCAGGGCTGTCAGATAACCCGTGATGAGCCTGGCCCCCCGGTTTCGACCATCGCTGTTGCTTCAGCCCCTTAAAGCTTCACAACACATTGAGTGCGTGGGGGGGGGGGGGAACACGCCTAGGCACTAAACCACCTTAGAAACCCGCGTGAACGAACTTCCAAGCGCTGGCGAAGCTCCGGCTTCCCGGGTTCGTGAAGGAGTAGACTTGGCAACCTCCAGGCGCTGTCTGGCGTTTCTACAGGGCTTCAGCAGCTCAGGGGAGGCTCAATATGGGGTATGTAGAGTTTATGTGGAGCTGAGGATTTTGGATTTAGGGAAACGTCCGGAGCTCAATCGCGAAGTCGAGGGCCTCAAGTTCATCAAGGTCAGGATCCGGTTTCTCATGAGCTCTCTCCTTGCTGGGCTCAGGTACACGCCCATGTCTAAAGAGATCGATCGACTCCTCCAGAGTCTCGAATTGGCCACTGCTATCAGACCCAATCAATGAATGAGCAACACCTAACTTCACGATTCTACATTGCAACTAAGAAGGCCTTCTACCCCTTCACTGGTGCACGACAGATATGCAAGTTTGTAGCAATCCCAAACTGACGGGACGGATGTACATCCTTAACACAACTCATGTTCATTCACGTGGTAAAAACATGAGAACCTCCAAAATCCAACTAACCTGGCGTGCACGCGGCTTTTCTTCAAACTTCGCCTCCCGGTCTTGTTCTGACAGCGACCTTCGTCGCGCATCAAAGCTGTGTAAGAGACGCCTTTTCTGCAAACGATGACTGGGGATTGTCGGGATTTTAGGGCGGAGCCTCAACCCTACCCCCAAACCCTCAGCAGCCTGTTTCGCAGGTACTGGGGCTTCGTCGAGGCCCGGCTCAAACGACCAAGGCTGCCGGCTGCTTCTT